CATCAGCTGACGACATCTTGGGGTATAATTTCAAATAGAGATGGTATCAAAAATATATATAAAAAACTTAAAAACTATAGATTGTTCTTTAGTTTTGTTTTTTTAGGTTTTTTTTTGAAAATGTTGAGAAACTTTTATAAATCGATAATTATCGATAACTTTTATAAGTTATTTAAGAAGAAGAACAAGAAAAAATGTAGTTTCTAAGCCAGTTTCTAGGCTAAGATGATCAAATATTAGTAAGGTTAAGAGTATAATAATGAATATTGGCTTATTTTTAATAATATCGATAGCATTTCGATATATTCGATACATTTTTAGGAGATTTTGGATTTTATCTTGTTTATAGATATAGATTATAGATTTATAAGTTTCTATATCTTTTTGGATAATTCCTTTGAGGTTATAAACAGAAAAGTACATCTCTAACTTCCGGAATGTGTGTTGTGCCTTGCCACTAAGCCGATTTAGTTGAGAATTTCGCCACAACAAGAACACACACACACACATACAGAGAGACATTGGGAACAACAACTAGAACATGTTTCGAGAGCCTGACACACATACCAACACACTCAGACACACACAGACACATTAACACTTTGGATATTCGACAAAAAAAAGGACGAAATGGTTGAAACGAAAGCGATGGGTGTTTGACATCCTTTTATACACGTGCATCCTGTATAGGTCTATGTGTGTGTATGGGTATGTGTGTGTGTCTGAGCCCCATTGACAGTTAACTCTTACAACTCGCAAACGAAAGGATTTGAACGGGCCAAGTCGCGTTTTAATTTGCGATTCATCATAAATGGGCTTTAATCCGTTGACGACGAGTGGGCCGAAATGAAAATACCATCGAGTGCTTTTAGCCCAGGGTATTAGCCGAGTGCGAATATTTCCCGATCTTGGCTAAGCTAGGCTTCTAAAAAGGGAGAGGATATTCTGGCTACTATTTTATAGCATACTTTTAAGAGTACCAATAAAGTTTAAAACTTATCCTCTTGAAGTTATGATATAATAACATTTAAAATTTATTTTTAATATTTAATAACTGCCAAAACGGAAGTTATGTATATTTTTTTTGTTGAAAAAATCTGTTGATTTCCGATCAACTCTCTGGAGTGATATAAAGAATTTAAAACATAGCCATCATATTCTCGTCAATTTTTTTGTGAAACAATTTGACGTCAATTGAGGTCTCCCACCAATCCTCCTGCGGATATCACATCCTGTCTCCTTTTGATTAAAAATAAACTTTTGCATCAAATGGGGAACGTACTTCCCATGTTATTCCTATATATATATACGTATTTATAAAAAAGAAATGCCAGAAACAAACTATATAATTGATTTATTGTTTCAACAATATATATGCGTTGCTTTCTCCCCTTCAACATTTATTTTTTCCCGAATCGGTAGCCCTCTGGCAATGTTTTTATACGATTTTTTTTTTATGTTGTTCGCTGATGCCAATAAATTGTTTTTCCATATGTATCAAATTCAGCGCTAAATGCACACGCCAACAAAAGTAGCAATATCCAGAATAAATCCGTAGAATCGGCACTTCACTTCAGTGATGCTTCGGGCTGTTTTTCATTGTGATTAGGTGTCATGGATATCAGATACCCATTGAAATAATCATAAGGAAAATTATTAATAGAAGAGGTTTTGGGAGCTTAATGGGGCTTAATCTTTTAGGAATAATATGAGATATATTTAATAAATAAACACTAAGAAGTAGTTAAGAAATATTATATTTTGAAAAGAAAAAGTCAGGATCATAGTTCAAAGGTTTCTTTAAAAAATTAAGTACTTCTCATAACTTAAAAAATAATTTTAAAACTATATAATTTATGAGTTTATCAATTCTTTTATGATAAACCCTCTATCCTGGGCATCTTTTCAACCAAACATTTAATTGAATTTCCCTCAATCTCAACTGAAGTAAACAAAGTTTAAATTTGCATAAAAAAAAAATCAAATTTAACTTAAAAGCAACAACAACAATAAAGCATATACAAATAAATTAAAACAAAAATGCATTGTGGGCAAAATATATATATGTTTTTTTTATAAAAATACAAAACGAAAGGCTACAAAAATGTCAATTGAATTTTGAGTTTGTAACCCAGGATACATTCCAATCGCAATTTGGCTCGACAATTTGAGGAATTTACCAGCTCTGGAGCAGCTTTTTTTGGTCACGCGTTTGTCCTCATCCTTTTCGTCCTGGCAAAAGGACGAAATCAAAAAAAAAATCAGAACCGGGAGGTGCACAAGGTTGGAGGCTGATGGCTGGTAGGAGCATTACAAAAGCTGAGCAAAAGCTAAACGAAGCCAGGAGTAATTAATTAGTTGCGCTGGAAACGGATACAGGAGTACAACAGGATCAGAGGCGGGGCACAGGACTCGTTTTGGGGTTTTTCGGGATGTAACAATTGTTATTTGAGTAGCTGGCAAACAATTATGACCAATCCGGAAAAATGCGCATTTCTCACTCGGCAAATGGCAAATGGCACATTGGCAATCGGCAGAGGGCTTCCAAGGATACCCCCATACCCCCACTATGTAATTTGATTTGATTTTCCACCAAAAATGTCAATGAATTTTCCATCTCAATATCACCATAGTAGTTGTTAAGGATTTTCCAACTTCAACTCTTTTTTTTTCAAACTAAATTAAATTTGAATTCAATGGGCTCGAAATACAAGACATGATGATATAAAAATAAATATATATCATTGCCAGGAGAGAGACTCCAAGTGTCCTTAGAGTCCTTAGTGTAATAGGAAAAGCCTCTAATAGGCTTTCATTAAAGAGCTCTTTACTTATTATTTGGTTTTTGGTTCACTTGCCGAATTTTTACTGTCTTTTGTTTAGGTTGTTTGGGGGAGCTTTGTTTATGCTCCGCTGTTGTGCTTTGTTTAGACACTGGCTGATAAACCTATTTTGGGGCCAGCGCAATGGGGCTATTGCCGCAAATTACGTATACGCCGTGTGTGTATGAGTGTGTGTGTCTCAATGCCAGTGCGAATGCAAATGTAACCGCATCCTACACCCTCAACTGATTCTGTGCCAGGAATTCAATCGTTCAAGCGATAGGCTAGTGTCCTCGTCCTTTGACTTTATGTCCTTTTTTGGCCCACAGAAACCGCCTGTTACTGTTTGACACAGTTAGGGAGGAGGACAGGCCAGGCCAGGACACTTGACAGCCGGAGAATAGAGATGATTTTTGGGGTTTAGAATTTAAACAGTGGTACTTCAAGGTTTCTTCAAAAATATTACAAATTATCTATAAAGTAAAGTCCTTGCTATTAAAGTTTATTTCAATAAAGTTTTCTCATCTGCTGGCAAAAAGGTCAAATGTGGCCAAAACGGTCGAGTCCTGGCCAGAGTTTTTGGGCCGCAAGTGGCACAATTTGATTACAAGAACGTTTAAGTTGGCCGCAGGACTGGCCGATAATGAGATGGCTGTGAACATGGCCAGGTACAGAGAGCAGAGGTGGTAGAATTTCACTGTGGTTTCCGGTGGATACCCCAGACTCCGGCCAGAACAGAACAGAGGGATATGCAGTTGCAGTTCATTAGAGAGTGAGAAACTGAGAGTCAGGGCCGTTTAAAGTCACACACGAAAATATACACCCATACCCCCCACACATCCACGACAAAATAGTACAAAAACACTTCACGACACAGCACTTTGGACAATGCTAACGAGCTCACGAACAGATTTCCCCCCTCTTTTTTCCGTGGGGGGGTGGGTGGCTAGTGCTCTTGAAATATAAATACAAAATGTCGCTTCCTTACTGGGGCCACACATTCCACATCCTCTAGACACATGTAAACTTTTGGTCTATTCTTCCAAAAAAAATATAAAGAATGCAATTCTATTGCGAAAAATATTTTTGTTTGCCGAAAAAGGAAAAAAAAAAAAAAAAGTAAGCAGGAAGAAAATTGCTAGGAAAATCTAAGGAAAAATGACAGCATGTTTACCATACAATAGAGAAGTTATACCAAGTATGACATATGAGTAAATATTTGCACCGCAAATGATTGGATCTAGATATGCCACTGACGCTGTCCGAATTGAGTATATTAAGAATTTTACAAATTCTACTTAAATCATTTCATCTTGTTTCATAAATATTTATATAATATATTGTATATTGTTAGAACAGATGCATTTTTGGTATATTTTTCTTAAATGCGCAACTTAATTCCAGGCTGCGCAACAAGTTTGAACGACTATAGATCGGTTTTATGAAATAGGAATAATATACTTTCATTTTTTTTATAAATAACTAAAAAAAAGTCTTTTAAACCTTTCTTAAGTAAGACTTAAAGTCTATCTTTGGGTCTAATTTTCAAGAAAAACTTTGAAAAAATCTGTCAGATTCTTATCTTTTTAGGATATACTTCATTTTGTTTACTTTTGAGACCTAAACAATGTTTGTTTAAACTACCAAATATTCTAGATAAGCTCACTTAATTGAGATTCAATTAAAAAAGGTTAAACTTGGTATGAGATTTCAAACTTAACCCTGTTATCAAGATAAGGGTTAAGCAAACTTTTAAGTGAAAAGATAAAAAAAGAACATAAAGTAGTTCTTAGATGAGTTTAATTATAATTTTATGGTATTTTTCAGATTCTTCTTCAATGTTTTTGTATTTTAAAGATAAATCATATAAAAGCTTATAGTTAATACCAAGAGATCTTGAAGCTCTTAAAAGCCAAATCTTTTCTCATAACTAATAATAATTTCACTAAAAACGTCTAAACATCTCCATAATTAATATTTATACATCTTGTTTATGAAATTTATAAAACTTTCCACATAAACAAATCCCCACGATGATAAAATTATATGATAGCACGACAATTATCTCGTAATATTTAAACAAATAACACAAAAAAGAACAAAACTTGGCAAATAAGAGAACTCTTTATCTTTCAAACACTGAAAACATTATTTGTTTTTCAATTAATTGACACTCACCTGCCACCGTTTTCACCTGCTACTGTTTCAACTGCTTCTCTTTTCTTTTCTTTTCTTTTGATTTTTTTCAAAAATTTCTGGTCTTTGGAGGTTTCTTGTTTGGTTTATAAGATTTTTGATTTTTTAGGCAGATTTTTTTAATATACAAAAGCCATAACATGACCCGGAACTCGCGTACAAACACAGAAAAAAAGGTAACAAAATGAGGTTATCTAGTTTTTTTTTTGAGTTTTGAAAAAAACGTTTTCGAAAAAACGGCACGAATATTGCGGGGGCTGCTGCGGCGGCGGCTACGACGGCGGCGGCTGCTGCTGCTGCTGCTGCTCTGCTGGGAAAGCGTGCGAGGCGTGCGCCACGAGAGCCGAAGCCGTTATGACAGAATCTTGCGAGCATCTGAGCAACTTATCCTGCCCACCGACTCGCCCGAACGATAAACGAAACGAACGAGTCTTCGGCTAATGTGGGTGAGTGGGCCAAATGACACGTACATGCATGTATGTGTGTGTGGGTGTGTGGGTGTGTGTATGCGTGTGAGTGCAACTGCAGGCGTTTAACGGTCAAAGCGACAGCTTAGCTGCATGCTCCCACGCCTCTCTCTCTCTCTTTTTCTCTTACTTTCTCTGTTTGGCTCCTGCTCTCTGGGCACCATACCATAAGGGGGGGGGCTGCTCTCTCACACTCCGGTAGTTTTGTGCATTCACCGTTGTTTGTTTGCCTGTTTGTTTACTGTTTACTGCCGACTCTTGCCAGCAGTAAAATAAAAGTGAAAATAAATTTCCGTTACCGGCGAAACACACATACACACTCGCACACACGCACACGTCCTGGAATCGTCACAAAAACCTTAAACAAAGATGGTCTGCTTTCTTCTTCCCTAAAAACGTATTTCTTTCAACAAAAAAAACAGAGAAACAAACAAACAACACAATGGTAGTATGCGTAGTGCACGTGCACTGCAACAAAAAGGGTTAAGTTGGAGGATTTCCCTCGGCGTATACTTGATATTTGTTTGTTTTCATATTTACAACAGTGCGTATACGTGATGTAGATGATGGCTTGTGATTGTTCATATTACGTATACGCACTGTTGGTGGAATAAGATGATAGGTATGGTGGTTTTTTCTTGTTTTTAAAGTAAATTAAATTAATATTAGTATGAATTGATGGAATAAAATATTAAATAACAAAAATGGTCATTAAAAAATATGAATATTATGACTAACATGTTTTTTTTTAATATTTTTAAAATTTCATAAAAAATAGTAGTAAAAAAAAAAAGAAACATTTAATAAAAAAATAAAAGAAAATCTGCAGTATGAAAAAATATTAAGTATACGCCATGTGATTCAAAAACTTCTAAAATTCTAAAAAAATGAACTTAAAAAATATTTTGTAATAATTATACAATGGTTATTTCCCTCAAGTTATTTTATAGTTTCCTATTCCTTTTTTTCAAGGATATCAATTCTTTTTCGGGCCTTGCCCTTAAAGATAGGCTACTATTTTTTTTCTTAGCTTTTTTTTTGAATCGTTCAGCCTAATATATCCTTTTAAACCTTGACTTTGAATTATGGCTGCCTGCTTGCACAACGCAGTTTTCCGTGAAAAGATGCCGGAGCACGTGACCGTTGGCCTGCATCATGAGTACGGCTAAGATGGCTCGCTATATTTAGGCATATGTGTGACCCCCCCACTAACACACCCCCCTCTAACACACACAGATACACAGACACACTCTAAAACGGCGCTTCAATTTGCTGTCATAAGCACGGAGTTGCGCCCACGTCAACGCAGCAGAAACGGCAGCAGTTGAAGCAGCAGCATCAGCAGCAACGGTAGAAGCAGCAACAAACCAACGTCAGTCGTCAACATTGGCCTAGTCACGTTTTGATTCGTTCATCTAGTCTCGTCTCGGTTCGTCTCCTCTCGTCTCTAGGCCGTCTCGTCCCTCGTTTCTGGTCCCTGGCCCTCCATTCGTCTCGTTCGTTTGTTCTCGAATCTTTCATCTCGTATCATTTGGGCTTGTTGTCGGCATTCGTAGTGCTGCCTTTGTTCATTTGCCAGTCCAGTATAGAGGGTATTTTCAAATATTTAAAGGTATACCAGGCGTATGAGTAATATTAAGAAGGGATATATAAATAATTTAAAGTCTAGATAGAAGTTTTTGATATAAAAAGGGTAATTTCAAATATTTTGAGGGTTATACCAGGCGTATGAGTAATATTATAAAGGGTATTATAAATAATAAAAAGTTTAGATAGAAGTTTTTGATATAAAAAGTTAATTTCAAATATTTTGAGGGGTATACCAGGCGTATGAGTAATATTAAGAAGGGGAATATAAATAATAAAAAGGTTTTAATGGAGTTTTTGATATAAAAGGTAATAATTTAACTCATTAAAAAAAATATATCTAAAAACCAATAATTATCGATAAAAATCGATAAGTAATATCTATTAAGGCCATTTTTAACCCTAAAATATTTAGTATTTTATGCAAAATATATGGTATTTCTTTGTAGAATCCTTCAAATGATAACCCCTTCCACATGCATTACCATTTCTAGAAAACAAACAAAACTAGAAGAAAAAAACTGAAAAATAGAACTAAGCCAACATTGTCCAGAGCAGTGTTTAATTATAGTCACTAAAGGAATATGATGGACGGAATGAATGATTTAAGGAATGAAAGATTGAAGGACTAGCCAACTGACCAACAGACTGACCTACTCAGAAAGTAGGGCCTCTCACGTTCACAAATCAAATACCAACACACACACACACTGGTCAGTGGCACTCTTTCTGGACATTTATGTTTGTTTTGGCCAAACAAAAATTGGCCAAATTCATAAATCAGATGGGAGAGAGGGCCCTCCAAGGGCCCAGACTCGAAACGATATGTTTACCAGACATTTTCCAGAGCTCAGCTAAAGTGTTTTTTTGTATTTTTTTGTTTCAAAGATCGTAAATAGTAGATTCTTGTTCGTCTGTTATGGAAATAAATCAATTTTTCAGTCAGCACTTTCAGTTTTTTGTTTGTACTTGGTCTAAAAAAAAAGAAAATACAAAATATATAAAAATTTTAAAATTTCTATTAATTTCTAAGCGGCCCTGAACTTTGACTTTTGAAAAAAAGCAATTAAGAAACAGCAGTACTATAATACAAAGATTAGGCTGTGCTTAGAGCTTATCGCTTCCAGTCCACGTCGTTGTTGTTTGTTTGGCAAACTAGGTTTTCTATATTTTTCCGGACTTGTATATAGAGGAGGGACTTATTATATAGAACGTGCGACGGGCGATCAGGCGGCGTTGATAGGCGACCGGCAACTGGAGGCGAAATCGAAACTGCAACTTGGCTTAAGTATCGCAATCGCTGATGGAGGAACAACAAGAACAACTGCAGTAACATCCGGTCTATATATGTATATATATAGTCTGCTATAATGAGTTCTGAGAACAACAAACAGCGAAAAGTTCACTAATGAGACAAAAGTGCAACATGCAACAAAAGATCAAGTCTAGTAACAATATAAGTGATACACGTGTATATCAAAAGTGAGATAATACAATAATAAAGCCACAAAACACAAAACCAGCAACATGTTGCATCAACGACAACAACAGAAACAGTAAAAGTTCTGGGAATTTTTTGACAGGAACAAAGGTAAGCCGCAGGCGAAAGTAGCAACACGCCAGCAACAGCAGCAACCACACAGCAACATCAAGTGCATTAGCATTTATAATGATAGTAGAGTGAGCAATAAAAAAAAAAAATATATATATATATATATATATATAGATATAACCTCAAGCTGACAACAACATGACTATGACTATGACTATGCAATGGCAATTGCAACAGAATTTCTAAGACCGTCGCCCCCTCACTTTTCTGGTTTTCTGTTTTTCTCAATGCATCTTCTGGGGGCATAAATTACAGCAAATGGAAAAAGCGAATAAGTAAGAAATTAAATAAACATCAGGAGGAAAAAATAATATATATATATATGTATATGTATATAACTATGGGAAAATGTCAAAGGAAAATTGCCGCGCTCTAGGCGAATATTAAATGAAACGTGGCGGAAGAAAATACCCTAGGAAAGTAGCTTTTAAAAGAAGATTTTCAATTTTCGATAATTTCGATAAACTATTAAGACTTCTACGAGCTAGTCTTAGAGATGGACTTTAAGAGCATCTGTTATCTGTTTCTTTATTGTTATCGAGACAAAAGGCTTAAGCACACAGCTGGTGACCCCCTTTAGAGTAACTTTTTGTTGTTATTTTGAATGGCATTATAATAATCAGAATCTGTTGTCTTGGCCTGTCAAGGCAGTTATCATAGAACACTAAGAGAAACTATAGCAAGCATTAATAATCCTTATTTAAGATAACTATCGTTTATCGATAGAGATGTAGTGCTTTAGTCCCATCTCTAAAACGCTGTAATCCTTTTCCATTTTATTACTAAAGCATATTACGATTTATTTCGATTGCCTTCGCTGAGCTTTATGCTGATTTTAATTTTTAAGTGCCACTCACCGGCACCTGGTCGAGAAGATTTTCCTGCAATTTCCTTCATCTTCTCCTTACCATCCTGCCACCTTGCCATCTTGCCACCTTGCCACATTTTGTTTGCCTTGAATGCTTCCCTTTTGTCCATTTTGAAAAGGAGGCAAAATAAAAAAGAAAATAATAGTAGTTGAAAATAAAGGAAAAAACTTGTGCAAATGAAGCGTTAAATTGACTGAGTGCCGTCCAGAGGAAGTGGCGCGACAGGACGAGAACGAGAACGAAAACGAGGACCAGAACGAGGACCAGAACGGAAACGGAAACGAAACGGGGACACATGGCTTCATCTGCAACTGCATCTGAATTTCTTCCTTCTGGCAACAGCGACAAAAAAAATATTATAGAACTACTTTACAACCAACTTTTGTATTGAAGTTGCCATCTTGAGGACTTTAATTGAAGCTCAGAGAGGGGAATTCCAGGTGGGGTGGGGGGTTTGTATTTTTCAACCAAATTAAAAGCAAATTTACAAGGTC